GGGGATACCGTGGCCGTATTCTACTCCCCCCGAGCCACAGGGGGTTTTGCCCGATACATTAACATCAAGATTCGACATAGAATCACACATTACCGCTAATTACACCGTGTTTGATATAGTAGAACAATGGGATGCAATCAATTATATAATTAATCGAGTGGAGTATTTCCTTTCGAATTGATAGTATTTCTCTCTTTGGAGTTATAACTTTGCATTTTTTAAGAATGCGTAATTTCATTCCAAGTTACAATTTTTAATTATTAAATAATATAATATAATTTATTCTAAGCGTGCCGACTTACAAGTTGTAATACCTCCAATAAAATGTTAAAAATAAAAGAAAATAGTTCATTTGGAAAGCGAGACAATGCACAACAAAGTGAAGATACACAAAACGACAGTGATACGTTTCTTACGGAGTAACATTCGTGTGTGATACTATTTTCGAGACAGATCCCGATAAAAATTAAATAATTCCAGTATACGTCACGTGTCAACGACCTTTCGATAAACACGTCCCACCACGGTCTTATAAATGGAACGCTAATTTTCTTACTGGAGAAAAAAAAATCGAGTATCGTCGTCTATCAAAGAAGAATATACAATGAATTAATTAAACAGAACGATCGAAGAAATCTGCGAGGGCCAATCGAAATAGCTAATTAAAATACATACCTAATTAACCATTCATTCGAACCACAAACTCTTACATTTTACAGAAACCATATCTCACAAAATTTATATTATAATATTTTACAATATACTGTAAATGACACAGTTTTAAATCAAACAATTAAGATTTGCTTCCAGTCTAATTAACCCATAATCGATGGTAAGGTATGGTGGAGTACACAACACATGATAAAATAAAAATAAATAATAAAGTAGTAGTACTGTGGATTATTCTTAATACCCTATTTTAAAATAATTTTAAAGATAAAAATTAACACTACTGTACTAATTATGGGTTAAATGAGACAGAGTAAAAATTTGAATGGTTTGATATTTGGATAGTAATTAACACGTCGATTGCCACGCTAATTTTTTATATTTTTCCCAGAAACCCACTATAGAATTTTCATTCATCGATGACCACCATGGTCCCACTGAGAAAATAAATTCCTGTCACAGGTGACCAACGTGGCAATTAATGTGTTAAACTCACCGCATGATTCTTTTTCGCGACGTTTTTCGCAGCTATGACGATTTCACGCGGCTAGCTACGAGAAAGTGTCTTAAGACGGAGGCGGACAGATAAGGTACAGCGAAACGAGTACGATAGGCCGAAACGAGATAGCGTCGTCGCAGCGAGTCGACGATATCTCAAGTCAATGTCCTATGAAGGACTGCTGTTAACACTCGAACCACCGTACGCACGCTTTTCTGATTACAGCCACAGTGGCTGCATTCTCGTTCCTCGTTGCTCTCACGCTGACACGTGTCGTTTGGACCATGCCTAGGAGACGTCGATAATTCAAATTCAACCTTTTGTCTACCTTTACGTGAAATATACTCAATCGTCTGATTATTTCCTGATTAAAACAGAGTTAGGCTCGAACAGTTTTGAATTATCGTTGATTTGACAGATTTGATAGATTTTAGAACAATGAAATTCTGACTCAGTTTCATGACAGAAAAGCATTGCCAAATATCACTTATGATACACTAAATTAAAGCTTGAACTTTAGTGAAAATAAATGCACAAGTCTTTCGTTTGAATTCGCAACATAAGTGAACTGACAATAAAAATAGTGGAACTATCAAGTTGCTTCATATCAAATGGCCATCTACTAAAGATCAAACTTCCGACTCAATTTCATGACAGAAAAGTACTGTCAAATAGTACTTATGATACACTAAATTAAAGCTTGAAGTTTGATAAAAAGGAATGTGTAAATGCCTCATCGATATTCTTAATACAAAATGAATGGTTCTTCGTTGAAGAGAACCATGCATTAACCTTGCCCATCAGGGAATATCAAAATTCAAGGATCAGCCATTTCATACTTACAATTAGATAAGTTATATAAAAGATTATTTAGAAAAATTGAAGTAATCACGAAAATGACAAAAATCAATAACTTTTATCGAGTCCCTGAAAATTCGTGAAACTATATCTATGACTTGTGCTATCTTTAATTCCTCGTTATCTAACACAAAATTTCATGTATACGAATTGAAAAGAGCACACGTTACCTAATCTAAACGCGAACATATTTTTTAGCATAAATTCGTTTTATCTAGGTAATCATATTCTTGATATTTCGAGCCCGTGTTTGCTCTAACCTGCTGCAAACTCTTGACGATGTACTACCATAAAAATCGCCGGCAAAGTAATTAATCTGTCAAAACGTTTGACAAAGACTTCACTATGGAAAAAATATATCACCTTGTAAACGGTGAATAAATTTGTTGTTCAGCAGCAACACAGCTCTGCCTCATTAAAGAAAAATTCCAGATTGATAAAAAGTTGTGGTAATACCTTCATATGAATTCACTGAAACATAAAAATAAAATAGCAATTAGTTTCCGTTAATTAATAATGAAAAAGAAATGATAAATTACGAGACTCAAATATTAGTAAACTTAAATAGAAATTAAGTTCTATAACTTCGAGTTTGATTAAAAAGATATTAAATTTTCTAAAGAGATTAATATTGCTGTACGAAATTATTATATGAAAGTAGCCGATAATTTTATTCGGGCGCAGATTTGTTTGCGCGGGAAAATCTGCAAGTAGAATGAACCGAAATATCGGAGACCCGACGTCTCTCGCAAAAATACTTAGAATTCAAATAACTTGGCAATGAAAATCTTCTAAACATCTATTTATACGTCGTTTCCTACATATGTAAATGTATGTTTGATGTAGAAACTAGTCAAGCTTGTTGTTCCGACTTAATTAAGTAAATTGATCGTCTAATGGGCAAGCAAAGATAGACTAACGCCACAACTTATAGCGTTCTTTTCCAAGATTCATGCGTTTGAAGTTTAAGGTCAGAGTCATATTTCGATGTTCTTATCATCGCTCCTTAGATACGATGTTTTATCACCGTCTTGGGTTTTGTGTTAATGTAAGCACGCCGTTAGAGTCTGTTAAAAAGGCATGTTTGCGTAATGAAAATATTCTACTACGTCAGCTGTTTGTTACAGCATCGAGGAACTTGTAAATTACACGTGAATCTTATTAACTTGTGACACATCGAATGGAGTGGATATTGAAAGATTGAAATTCTATGATTTGAAGACATAAAAGTATTGCAAAATTGTACTTATGGCATATCAATTTGAAGCTTGAAATCTGATAAAAATTCCTACATAAATGTTCCATTAATTTTTTAGAGATTAGTTAATGGGCAATACTTAAAGCTGTAAAAACCCTCCGACTGCGGACCATGAAGAGGGCCCTAATTATTTTCTAAATTGTACAGTGTTCTCTTAAAAATTATTCTTTCGATATATGAAATCTTTTCATTGAAAACATTATACATTTAATTAGATACATTTGGATCGTGATTGACCCAGATTTTGCTGTTTAAGGGTTAATACATTGTTTAGTCCGAAGAAGAACCAGTCATGGTGGAATTAAAAGATTAGCTTAAATTGATCTAAATCATTTGAAATCTCCTGGAAGCCGTTGAACGATAGAAAACACGTTCACCAAATTCCACCGATCATCGCGGTCGATGATTAATTGTCTATCGAACGTTTGCCGTTGGTTCCACGCTAGGCTGTCGAATAAACATCAGGGCCATTGACTTTTTACCAGCCACATTTCGTAGAACTAATCTTCGATCTGCGATCGAAGCGACTCGATATAGAAACTTACGGAAACTTACGGGCCATTCACGGTGCCACGAGCAAAATTCTATCGAGAGAGTTCGAACCGTCGATAACGGGAAATAAGGAGAACTGATCTATTAATGATTGCTCGACAGTGAAAATTTGACCTTGGATAACTGATTAAGTTCTAAAGTAGGTATTGTAATATTTGATTAAGCTGTGGTCGAATCTACTGATAAGAACAGGAAATAAGAATATGCTTGGATATTAAATTTTAAGCAACTAACGTTGACTTATCAATAATCTCAACCACTGATGTAAAAAAAAAAAAAGAAAATCTGTTCCGAAAGCATTGACAAGCGTGGCACCCATTCCTCGAACGTCAGGGAGTCGAATGAGAGGATCCCACCCTCTGGTATCCACGCACACCGAATCTGACCCTGGATCGTATCCCATTACCGCCAGAATCGGTCATCACTGACCCTCCTCCTTCTTCGGGCGTGTTCTCTTTCCCTTCTTGCCGACCAGTTGGTCGCAATCCGCGTCCATCTCCTCGAGGCGAATTCGTGGAGAGGGAGAGTTCGGGTTAGAAGCGGAATCAGGAAGAGAGCGTTGCACCGCTCGAGAGGGTACACTGTACCAGTGAACCCGGTGTGTGGTTGCCGCGAGTAGAGGTGCTGTTCCCCACCCTTCTAACGGCAGGGTACGAAGGAAGGGATGATAGAGAAGGAGACAGAGCGAGAAGAGTGGAGTAGAGAACGAGGGAGAAAGGAAACAACTCGAGTAACGGACCTACTACCCCTTCGTCCCACTCTCGAGTCTCTCCCACCCAGTAGAATCTAAAGCGGTGGAGGGGTGACCCAACGATGTCCCCACCATTTCCTTACCCCTTCCTCAGTACCAGCTCCCCTCTAACCCCTTCCAAAAGTCATCCCTCCAAGGCGTCGTAAAAAGCGCGTCGGTGAAACGTCGTTACGCTGCCAACTGACGTCGTGGTCGTCGACGTGCTGACTCGGGGGTGCGAGTGGAGCAACGGTGGGGTACGGAGTCTATAGTGGGGGATGATGGAGAGTGGAGGGGATGGTGAGAGCGTGAGTGGGGAGAAGGTGACGTGGTAGGGAGGAAAGGCGAGTGGAGGAGAGCTCGACGACGGCAAGGAGAGGTCATTGACCCGACCGGCAGGCTGCCGGCTGCTAGAGAGCTACGTCGCTCGCGCGCTGCTCTGGCCTCTCCTCGTCTGTTCCGCGTTTGTTCGTAACCTCGTGTGTGCTGTGCGCGCGCGACAAAGAGAGAAACAGACCACCGTACACCTATCCCGTACAGTTCTGCCCTCCGTTTCTCTCACACCCGTTGCCTCTCCTTCGCTCGCGCCTACTCTCTTTCTCTCCCGCGGCTCTCCGTGTCCCTATACCATCTCTCGCCACTGTTCGTCGCCGCGATTCCGGCAGGGCGCAAGCAACGCGAGAAACAGAGAGAGAGTTCGCGCGCGCGCGTTTCCCGTAGGACGTTGCGTTACGGAGCGAGAGATCGCGCCGACTGCGCGCGGAGAACGCGTGTTCCGCGTTACACACCGCCGCGTTCTGTTTTCTTCTTTCGTGCGTGTTAACCCCCGTGGGTTCAAGCCAGCGCACGGTCCGACGACACGCGAGTGTCCGATTGCATTTCCATCGCGCTGCGAGGAAAAACCGTTTCGTCTCGGGCCGCGCGTTTCGCACGATCGCTTTTTCCTCCCTCGCGGAGAGAAATCTCTCCCTCGTTAGTGCTGTACCGTCCGTCCCCGTCGCGGCGACCATCTCTCTCTCTACATCTTTTCCTATCTTCTTCGCACCACAAACCTCTTTCTTACTCTCTTACTCTTTCTGTGTGTCCCTACTTCCGTCTTCGTCACTCGTTCGTTGCCTCTCTGTCTCCCGGTGTCTTTCTCTCTCTCTCTCTCTCTCTCTCTCACTCACTCCCCGCGTGTCTTTTTCCCCGGCTTTTCTGACCGCGCGCGTCCGTTCCCTTCTCCACGAGGGAGGAGAGACGTCTGTCGCGCTTCGAGGCTCCACGCGTGCACGCGCGGAGAGTCGGCTTATCGCGGACGAGCGTGCCGAACGCTTTCTACGGAGTCTCTTCTGCATCCTCCTACGTGCTCGACTAGAGCCGCCACACGTCCGATCGGTGTTGTCCACGCTGTCTCGCGGCACAGTTAAGGTGTCGGTGAGGGTGAAAGGGTGAGAGGGTGAGGGTGTCGGTGACGGTGTTCGTTGTTTCCTCGTTGTTTCGCGTCCGCGAACACGCGAACGCGGGCCCGATTACTCGCGTAAACATCAGCCGGTTACGTCGGCTCCGTGACGTTTCGTTCGTGACAGCCGGTTGCAAGGATTACTTGTTACTGAACAGCAACGAAGCAGCAGAAGAAGAAGAGGAAGAAGAAGAAGAAGAAGAAGAAGAAGAAGAAGAAGATATACAAGAGAGGGAGGTGGTGGTGGTGGTGGTGGTTGTGGAGGAGGAAGAAGAACGGAAAGGAACAGAAGTAGTGGAGGTGGTGGAGAAGGAAGAAGAGAGCCGCGAGTGCGACGACCGGGCCACAATAGTGTGCGCCGTTTGTTGTTTCGTTGGCCGGTTTTCGGTCTGCGCGACAAACGCGAAGGAAAGCGGAAGAGCGCGAACGTTAAAACGGGAACAAGAAGCGACGACGCTTTTCGATTCGTCGTCTTCGAATAATTAACGCGAGTGTTATCGTCGAAAATCGAGTGTGTGCTCCGTTTCTTTCATCTTTTTTTTTTTTTTTTTTTTTCATTTTTGTTCCTCTGCTGGCTAGTTTCTCGTACTCCACCGATGTAATATAAATATTACAAGTTTTAACATAATACGCGGCTATCCGAATTCTCTGTCTGTCTTCGACGGAGTTCGCGGGTGGAGGTCCCGGGAGCGAGAGGAACAACGGGGAGAGGAGCCTTAAACCCAGTGGATCACCTGTGGTGATGCAGTAAACGAGAAAAAGGGGGAGAAACACGAGAGGCGGGATAATAACGGATAGAGAACGGGGGACGAACGAAATAAATAAACGAAAGGAAAGATAAAGGAACAGGAAGGGAAATCTGTCACGTTGTGTGATCAGCCGGAGAGCGAGAGAGACTCCCCGGATATACTCATCATGCATTACACACGCATACATGCACATTACATATATAAATAGATTGCATATAACACGCATGACGTTCGTCGCGATATCGTCCTCGGTCCACGCGTATAATTCAATTTCGATCTTTCACTTTCGCGCCATTCGGTTATCCTTATTTCCCTCCTAACTGCATACATCGGTTCCCTCGTTGTCATCCCGGAGGAACGATCGCGATCATCTCGCGTTCGTTCCTCGCGTTTCTTCCTTCGCGGCCACCCTCGGAACCACTCTCTCTTTCGTTCGCGTTCCAACGCATCACACACTCTCTCTCTCTCTCTCTCTCTCTCTTGTCGGCCAACAACGCACGCTTCGCTCATCCGCTTCTTTTCCAAGCCGATCTTTGTTCCTTCATCAACGTAGTACACGTGTTCCATCGTCCACGCGGCCCGTTCGAGCCGTTTCTTTCGACGCGTTCGCGCCACCGATTTCGCGCACTCTTTCATCCCTTCCCGTGATTCTCGATCCAGTGACGTCGAGCTTGCAAACAACCATCATCGTGCTCGACCTGTCAAATTTCATGTTCTTTCTTTTCCGAGACATTACCGACCGGTGGAATAATCACAGACGCAAGTGTCCGAAGGAAGATCGACGATCTTTCGTCGTCGAAGAATATTTATATGGTGCACACGATTCGTTCGAACATCTGGTCGTATGAAACATCTTTACGACTGGACTGGCGTCGATCTATCGAACCGTGACTGATAACAGATAGAACATCTTATCAGGAGACGCGTGAACTGATTACGCGCCTGGCAACCGATCATCCTGATGAATTTTATCGAACACCGAGGATGCTTCAACTTATAGATCTTTGATGGTGGAGGAAATTATTCGTTTATACGTTGGAGTAATTAAACTGGCTGTCAAAATATTGATAAGTCTTCGGAAGAACATTAACGTGGTTATCGACAAAGTTTACGATTCTATTAAATGGAAACGATCTGGTCCGCGTGTTTCGATCACGATCTTGAAAAACCTCGAAAAGCTTCCAAACGGAGCGCTCTCTAAATATAATCCACGGTGTTTTAGCCTGTTATTTTAAGAAACATCATCGGGTCGTTCGGTATCGAGCAATTCTCTTCCCGTTTCGAAGCGACTCGGATCCGCTCGGATTAGAATAGCAAGGGAAATAATAACACTGTTGCTCGTCCCGTCTTACCCCGTTCGCCTCTGCTCCGCGTCTCTTCCAGTGGATATCTTTTTCCATCCCGTAACCACCTTTCCGCCGCGTGTGCACGCGAGCGGGCCGCCGCAGTACGCGTGCGTAATATTCGACACGCGCGTCACCACGCATCGCAGCACCGTTTCTGACCGACGCGTTTATAAATAAAAGCCGCGTCGTGGCACCGCGGCACCGCGGCACCGCATTACGCTCGAGCCTCTTTCGTGCCGGTGTAACAACGTGTCAATGAAAATAGAGACAGCATGTCTACTCGGGAAATTCGATTCGATGCATAACCGTTTCTGCCCTGTTGATTTTTAACGAATCGAGGGAAAATCCGAGGCGAGAAGTTTTCTTTAGATAATCCTTCTTTTATTTTGGTAGGGAAATTAATGAAGCTTCTTGGATAAAAAAAAAGATTAATCGATCGGTAATTGCGCTAATCAGATCGTTGATAATCGCATCGACCGCGACACGACAAACGCTTTAATTAACAGAATTTCCTAGCGCGTGAATTCCACCTGCACAGTGTGCTGTTAATTAATTCGTCCAGTCGTATTAAGCTTTGCACGAAAACGACAAATTGTCTATATTTTATCAAAAAAATATAAGTAGGTAAATCATTGCTTGAAAAGTATTACTCAATTTCTTGAAAAATGTTCAGTACCCTAAATGATATTCTACTATTTTCTAAGATATCTATGTAGTCTCTGATAGCGCTCCCTAGAAAATAATCCTTCGTGTGACAAGGGATTTGTTAGAAGCAACTCGACCTTTGAAATCGGCTCTAAACTCGCTCACCTAACGGCGATTAACCGAATTGATCTCGTTATCCAGCAATAATTCGAGGCTGTCGTGCACGGTTGGCGGTCCTCTGCTGTACACCGGCTGTGCTCGATAACGAGTCAATTATCGATTGAACCTTATCGTAACTAATGCCCTCTGACGCTTCGCCAAGTATCTGAAAAGAAACGGAATCTCTATACGCACGATTTTCCAAAAAAAAAAAAAAAAAGAACAATCCGATCGTTCTGAAACGGTTCGATAGATCTGACGATAAGAGAAATGAAAAAAAGCCGATGATCGCGACGGAAAGGTGGAAAGCACGCCTCGACATCGCTGGTTCGCGGCAGTCTCGTCTCGTGTCTGCTTGAAAAAAGAAAAAAGAAAACGGGCCTCGCGACGAGCTGGTGTACGCGCGTGAGCCACGCGCGAATCAGAACTTAAAAATTAAAGAAACGAGAACGACCAGCGGATAAGACGAATCCCTCGAGTTTCACCGAAGTTTCGTTCGGATCATATACCGTTGTCGAACTTTCCACGTGCACGAACTGTCGAATTGCCGTAAAAAGAGAAAAAGGCTCACGCACGTGTCGCTAGTTGTCAAAGTAGCCGAAGATGGACGCGTGCCACGATTTTCCTTCCATACAGCGAACATAGAAGAATCGACGGTAGAGCTAGCTGGTTCCAGCGAAAATCGCGACGGATTCTTCCGTCCATCGCGGACGATCTAGCCAGTTGGGTGGGCCCCGATGTTGAACTGTGATGACCGCGGCGTGTCAACAGTGGATAGTGATCGAAATCCGCGTGATTCCGCGTGCTCGTGTACCGGTACACAGACCGGATTGACGAACAACTGAAGAGCGATCGTTGTTGTTCGGTGAGCGGACCGTTAACCCGGAGAAACCATGAAGCTGGAGTCTCCAGGTCGGTCGCCGACAGTGAAACCGTGAAAGCCTAGTCCTCGCGTTAGGACAAGGTAGATGAAATTACGTGGGCAGGATAGAGCGGGTATATATCGTTAGAAAGCAACGAGGGACAGAGTGTGGTACCGTGCGGTGTCCAGAGGCGCAAGGCTGGAGGTTAGTTTGTGGAAGAGGAGCTAGAGGACGGGCAGGAAGAGGCAGTCGCTCGAGAGAGAGAGGTGTATGACGTTACCGTTGACTATCCTACGTCACGTTAACGGTAACCCTCGTACACAACACGCACGCGACCTAGTCGGAGCAGCGGTGCGGAGCGGAGCGAGTGGAGAGTCAGCTAGCTAAGCGACCGCCTGGAGGAATTTAAAAGTGAAACTGTGACGATCCACGCGTTTTCCCCCCCTCTTCTCCTATTTTGCTACCGTTCTATCGCCTCGAACGTCGTCGTCTTTTCTCCCTTTCTCTTTCTTTTCTTTTCTTTTCATTTCATTTTTTTTTTCTTTCTTTTTTTTTATTATTTCGTTATCTCTATTTCTCTTTCACTCTTCGACCGGTGCTCCTGTGTCTTTGTCTCTCGTTTCTCGGCCTCCTTCCCGCCCTCTCCTCGGTCGTGACACGGAAGGGAATCGCAAAACGGCCAGTGAAAGTGATCGACATTACGATTTTCCCGACTAGCTCGCCCCTTCGGCTCGCTCGACAACAGGTACCGGCGGATCATCCGCGAGAATGGCACGCAGGTGCGAGCCGAGAAGCAGCTGAAAGCGACCCGGCACGGTCGCGTTACAGGCTCGCACTTCCGGAACACGCGGTGGGGAACAGAGGCTACGCTGACAGCTGGCGCTCACGTTGATGGCCGATCATCGACGATCCAAAAATGTAAGTTACACAAAGTACAACAACCATATGTCCGTTATAGGTCGATAACACTTGACCCTTTTTAATGTTCTTTCGACGAGAAAGTTTCTTCTTCGAAGGGTAGTCGAAATTAATTGTACCGTTCACTGACAGATTTCAGGGGTTCATTGGGTTTCTATGAGGAACGTTGGGTGGTTTGAAGGGAATTCTTCTTGGGGCTGTTCAGGGTAATTTGATGTTGAATTTTGGAAGAAATTACATATTTCACTTTCTAATCTCAAGCTATCAAATGTTAGATTACTATTGAAAAAGTGATACCATAGTGGTAACAATTTTGCTTAAGATGAAAGATTTCTCACAATTTCAATGTCAATTTAACTTTTTTTTAATATAGATTAATTCTTTGGAACTTTCGGAATAAGAAAGTATGAAGTGTGAAAGTGCAACAAATTCATGAGATATTTTATTAACGGCTATTGAACTTTTTGATATCGCACCCTAATAATTTTCTATATGAAATGTTCCGAAGAATCAATCTATATATTTAAAAAAAATACAATATGATATTATATTAGTATCTCTGGTCGAATCATTATTGCTTGAAAATAATAGATGAAATATGAATTCATATTATCACAAGTCACTTTATATAATCGTACTCGTGCTGTAAATTAATTAACACGGAAATTACATCGGCGATTCGTGCGATAATCCCCGTGAAATGCAATTAAGATGGCGATCTGAAAGGAATTCGTTTCCCTTTCGAGGGAAAGAGTCGTCCGCGATTCTAATATACCGTTGCGAGCGGCAAGAAAAGAAGGCAAGAATGGAACTTCTACTCTCGTGGTAGAAAGGAAAGGAAGCGGATAGAAACGAGCTCTAGGCTCGTACCGCTGGATCGAGTTTCACTTCTTCACTGTCTCTTTCCGCGACTCGTTTTCGCGTGCACGAGGAGGAAGCGTTTCCCTTCCCGTGAAAAGGGGAACTCGCCGCGCGAAAATCATTGTCCGCGGCTCAGTAAACTCCTCCGAAGACCGTTCCTTTCCTCGCTGTTGGCTAACGTTTTTCGTAATTAACAAGCTGTCGTGAGAAATTAAGAGAAAACTTTTCTCTCTTTACTCGTTAATTGAAAAAAAAAAAAATCTTCTCTATTACTTCCTCTTCGTCGTCGTTGAAATCGCAACAATAGCATTCGCTGATTGTAAACGTCCTGACTTTTCAGGAAGACCGATTTCATTTTAGTTTTCTATCGAATCGCTCCAAAATAAGTCGTCTTTTAATATTGATGCATAATTGTGCATCACTGCCTAAGTGCAGATTGATACGCAGAGCGAGATGAAAATATTTAGAGCGAAACTTGACGCAGCACGGGGTAAAATGTAATTCCGTTCGAATTCAACCGATTTCCCCGAAATCCGATGCGCAGAGTACAAAAGCGAGTGGACTTGACCGGATTGGAAGGTAAAATATGTGCTTGGCCGAGATTCTTGAATAAAACGTCGCCGACGTTCATCTGGTTACATTTCAATGCGACTCGTTTCGTCTCGAAAACGCGTCGGCTTCCAACGGAAGAATTGGAACGCTCGTCAGCGTTATTCATTTTTGAAAGAATTCCTGAAGAAGTCGAGGTGCAAGAATTTTTTTTATCTCTTTGACAACGACACAGAATGATAGTCACTTTGAATGGCGTTAAAAAGTATGAAATTTCCGTTAATTTCCATTGTAAACTGATAAAGATTATTGCTTAGAAATATATTCTTTATGGTTGGTAATCACTTTTGGCCCAAATGCAGTTCAGTGAAAAATATACCACTAACCCACTTTATTACCAATTTAAAATAACTCTCCAAATGTCCACTATGTAGAAAAATAACAGTAAACAAAGTTTGTGCGAAACCGATTCTAAAGAATTATTTTTCCATCACTTGGATAATTGAATTTGAAATTATTCTGACAAAAAATTACAGAAAATATTGAGCAGAATTAATATTATATTAATTAGACAAGATGGCAAGCGGTCTGATTAATTATGTCTCGTTTCCCTGTGCCAATCAAAGTGTTAATAATTCACAACTCCTTTCAGTGCAAAAAAAGCCTTTAACCCACTTTACCGCCAATTAAAAATAATTTTAAAAATCTCCATTATAATAATAAAAAAAAAAAAGATTCTCACGTTTCAACAACCAGAAACACTTCAACGCGATTCACCCTCGGGATTGAAAGTCCATTGAAAATATTCCCGGCGTTGAAAATGTTCGTAACACCGTTCCGTTATTCGCGCGAGAGAATCACTTTGGAGGGTGAGAAAACAAAAAGGAAGAGGGAAGAGGCTGCGCTATCGACTGATACGCTGGTTACGAGCGAAGGGTGAGGGCTATTTAATTTTGTATCGACGAGCACCTACGCGTGGTCGTGTGTCGACCCCGCAGAAATGCCCTCGCGTATATAGGTTAATCCGCGCTCGATGGGAATCGACCTGCGGAGGAATCGCGACACGGGTCAGGTTAACGAATGGGGTAGGTTAGGAACGTGCCAATCTCGGCGCACGTGGCGCCCGTACCTGCTATCTTTCTCTCTTCCTTTCTTTCGTTCGTGTTTCGTCCTCCCTGATACTCTTTTCACCGACCGTCACGCGAAGGGGTTGAACAAAAGTGTTCTTGCGATTACGCTGTGACGGACATAGAAATTAACCCTCTAATAGTGTCACAGACTACTGATACAGGGTCATGTTTCATCGAAGATTACAAACTGTTATTTTCTTAAATTCTATTTCTATTCGTACACAAGAAATTCGGTCTGCTTGTTTGCTTTGACATTTGTTACGAGGAAACCTACGAAAAGGTATACCGAATTGTTCGGTACCGCTAAACGCGTGCTGTAATGTTTACAGGCCATTAGTATTGCACGTTTGAACAAGAGCGATACACAGTTAAAACGGACGACTCGAACGAGCCGTTCCGTTTCTTGCTATCGGTTAACATTGGAAAGTGTTTCGCCACGTTGAAACGTTCGTTGGTGAGCGTAACAGAGCGGCCCATTTATCTCGCTTCCGGTCTCACACCGCGTATCCAAGCACACAAAACGCGGCGCGAACGCATCCCGTATATCTTACCATAATTTTCCCTCCAAGACCGTTACTTCCACGCGACGATATCGTTCTAACGACGATAACTTCGTGGTCATGATGAGAGCAAGAGCTGGTCATTCTGGATCGAGTTCAAAATTCCAGTTATTGAAACCATTAGGGATGTTTCAGCCGAGTACAATGATAAATAAGATGGACATTTCCGGAAAAAGATAATGAAAACTCTAAGGGAATCGAATTAGAGCGAATGGAAAAAGAAAGTAGAGAAATAGTTGCAGAAAATTTAAGACCGAGTTGGTTAAAATTTTGAAGGGAATGGTTTTAAAGGGTGTACAGTCTTTATATTATAAGTTATTTACCATACAAATATAGTAATATAATTTAGGACCGGTTTCAAACACTCTTCCTAAGGGTAATTAAGTAGAATTAATATGTAAGGTGTATTTTAAGGGATACAGGTAAATCAAAAGTCAGCCAAAGTCAAAAAAATCAGGAAACGAATAGGATGTCCTAAGTTTTTCCTTCGCGATGGTATCAGTACATTGTATAAGTAAAATTAAAAGCAGAATATTATATAAACGTAGCTTAATAAATGCTTTGCTAAAAGTTAATTAAAATAGAAAATAACACTGGACCGATTTCTGTTACGAGAATCAAACATATTTGTAGTCATCAGAAATTCCTACAAGAACCTCCATCTCTTTTACCATTCCCAATTTGTCAAAATCCCAACGATAGAGCTTCCTGTTCTCCAGCACGAACCCGGAAGTCTCCGTCACGCCTATTACAGACTAGTAAATACACTTTTTCTAAGACCTTTTACCGGCACGATTCATCAAAATGTCAGTAGAAAATGTCAAGTTTCTTCAACTTTAAGATAGGCACAACTTTCATTGTCACAACAACGATTAGCTTCAACGTCGTCCGCCTTTATGAATCAATTTCCTGTTCTCGTTCCCCTCGCGATCCACGAGTTCTTCTATTCCAACCGACACTTTTCAATTTTTCACCCATTTCTCTTGTTCAAACAGGTAGAAACGTACCTGCCCGCTTTCGTAATGATTCATACACGCGTCAACGATACTTCCTACGTTCAATAGCTGCCCTGGTCGACTTGATTTACAATCTCATTGTGTTTGTCGCGGATGTTCGGGCCGACAGTGTGTGCAAGGTGTTCCGGAAGTCGGTTCGTCGGGCGTCTTTAGGATCGCGTGTCTCGACGAGAAACAAGGGAGAGATTTCCTAACTGAAAGATTGTGGTTCCTTCGGCTGATGTATTACTTTTGTCTGATTAAGACTATTTAAGAGTGACCTTAGCCTTTAGTTGTTACAACGATGAGTAATGCTAGGCTAGCATGAGTAACCCTAATTGCTACAATAGAATTTTGGGACTAATAGAAGAGATTAGTCATCCTGTGTATTATACTTCACTGTGATAAAAACACTGCAAATATATTTCCATCTTGAATAAAAATGATTACTCTTACAATTTTTAATTTTCAAGTTCAATTTTTATTTTATCATCGATATGTTAATGAAACATTGAAAGAAGAAGCTACTCAAACAGGATGATTCGTCCAGAAACAGAACCAAATGAATCAGAGGATGACTTTCAAGAATAAAACCTCCAATAACCACGTTGGTTATCAAAATAAGTAATGACGATTCTTCTCGAGCCGAGTCCTATCGATTTGACGAATCAACGCCCCGCTAAGTTTCCTCTTTCGAAGTTCCGTCATCGAAAACAACAAGCAGAATCGCCAGATCCCCGTCATAAAACCGATATACGTACGTCCATAATCGTCAACGGTTCGAGGAGAACGCGCTTGAAAGCGACGCGTCTGGACGTTCCTATTTCACGTGGACGGGAGATGGTTTTTCTAAATCATCTCGCGATGGAAAAGGTCTGAACGGTCGTGTCCGTTGGCGTAACGCA